TTATCTTCAACCAAGGAATTATCAGTTCTTACTATTGTCATTCAACGATTCCAACGGCGATTCTTATCACGCAGATCGACTATCGATTTAACGTGACAAAAGATGCGCTCTTGATATCCGCTTATCTAACGAGAGCCTTCGAAAAATAGCGCGGCCACCAGCGACGAACGACGGAGAACGATCAAATTCCAGGGAAGATTCGAGGAATCGGTGATGGCCTTTGGTTTCTGATCCTGATAACAAACTGCAGACGTATCTTTCAGCCGATTGATACACACCGTTGATATCCATCTGAAAGTGACAAAGCTGTTTCGTTATCTGCCGGCTAATCTGAACGTGAAAAATCACTTTTATACTGCGCGTCGACCAGCGGAACGACGAACCGCGAGAGTAATTTCAACTTCGAACAACAAAATCTCCACGATTGTCTGCGTTCGTCGACTTCCAGAATTTTTGCATACAAAACACGCTTCCGTGGAAATTCGATTTCGCACAAGCGAACGAAACTTTCAGCGCGTTGCCTTATCTCTAGGATTTCTTTTTTTTTTTCTTTTTTTTGTCGACGATAGATAAGATTCCGTTTGATGGTGGAATTTTTTCAAGACACTAATGGAGATAATACGCCGCTCTGAATAATCAAATTGCTTTCGTTACCGCTGGTTATGCGCGGAGTCTTGAATTATTCAGCGCACCGTGCATTTTGTAGTATATATATTTACGAATAATTACGGTGATTCGTAGCGAACGCTTTGCCGCAATTATACCGCGTTGGTCGTCGCAATTCTGTCGTTAAAAAAGTTCACTGAATAAAAAACATATTTTCGTGCAATATTTGAATATTTAAAGGAAAAAATCATAAATCGAAGGGTTCGTTTCTAATTTCTGAATTATTCATGGTACTATTGTATATATATATATATATGGTTTCTAGGGCTAAACTAAAGGGAAGAGGATCAGATTCGGCACTTAAAGTGTCCGGCCGACTTCCGCGCAAACACGAGAATGCCGTTTCCACTCGGATGCGCCTACCTGCGTTTCCATGGGACGAAAACGAAGGAAAAAAGATCGGACTGATACGCAGGGCTAAAGACAGTAACGCCGCCGTCGCCTGTTTGTTTCACTTCGCGAGACGTTGCGTTGACTGACGAACATTCGTCGTTAGACGAAAGTTGTATATGTAAAGTTCTAGCTCGAAGAAACATTTCGAATTTTCTACGCACTAAGTGGAACAAAGGAGAGGAGAACGAACGAGGACTGTTGTACGCTAATGTTTCATGTATACACACGATGCATCGAAGTTACTGAGTTAGAACTACCTCGAGAACTGTTGCATTTCCCTGGCCATGAAACGGAACCGACACGCAGAGAAAGAAAACACCGAGACTTTTATTGTTTTCGAGCTTTGCGCGAAACTTCAGTCGCTATTTGTACAGTTTCGCTGACTATTCGTAATCGAGCCACTCTGTAGTCAAAATGGCTGACTTTTTTATATGCTTCCAATTTTAAAATCGAAGCACACGCTTGCTGCTTAATTTTTCATAAATAAAAGAAATTTAATCAATTTTATTTTACGTAGTTGGTCACTTTGGCTTCCGAGTGGCTCGATTTGTAGACTTACAGTTCTAGTTGGTTATGAAAGCGTTGCTATTTTCAGTTATAGATAAATCGTAACTGTCATTTTGTCACAGCAACAAAATGGCGGTAAAATTTCTTACGATATATAGTTGCGATGCAAGCATGGTCCTCGTTTCGTTTTTCTGAGACACCGTGTACAAGCTGGCCTGTCCTTCGAGAAGTTGAAGTGTCTATTGTTTCAACTCCGGCGAGAGAGCAATATAATATCTTTCGAGGAGCTGCCGTTGGGTTTCCAGATGCGGGCAGACGTTCTTACAGGTCACGGGACTCGTGGACCCGTATGCGAGTTTTTCAGCACCCACAACACACCCATATGGGGAAAAATTTAGATACACCCTTGACTTTCAAATTCATTAAAACCGGCACAGTATCTTTTCTTTTTCGAACACGATTTCACGAGACTTTGTTACCACGAACCGAACCGAACCGCGACAAGCACTAACGTTACGCTAACTATTTGAAGTACGTAAAAAGAACGGTTCCCTTCGATAATTGAATGTACGCAACTATCGATCGATTGTCGGTAAGATCGGAATGACGTAGTTGACTAGAAGTATACTTCACGCATGTCGAATAATCGCGAATTCTAAAATCTTCGAAAAAGAACGAACATTTACCTCAAAAATGTAAATTCTCCTTTCTCTTATGTTTTATAGAAAATATATTTGACGAAATAGGAATTATCTTGTCTCTGAATCGATCAACGGTGTGTTTCTTTCCTCTCTGTCTTCGCTGCGTATGCTCCTCTCTCTTCCTTTATCTACCACTTTCTTCCCGTCTCTCTCTCGTCGTCTTCTTTCCGTCTTTCTTTCTTTTCATCCGTCGCGCAATGTCAGAACGTTCACGCAGCTTTGTCATCGCGATGTCTGTTCTGGCCTTTGATATTTGTCGCGTCTTTGGCAGAGAGAAGAAACAGCCGAGAAGACAAACGAGGGAAGAAGCATGGTAGGTCGCGGCGTTGCCATGCTGTATACTCCCCGAGATCCGAGAAAGTGTACAAAAACCATTCGACCCGCCAACACCGAGGGCATCGCGTTCCTTTTTTAAATTGCCAGGCTAGCCATCCCCCTCGTATGCGTTTAACTTACACTCTTCAACGCACTATTTCTCTCGCTCGCGCTTCCTATCTTTGCGTCTCCCTCCCTCTCGCTCTACCACACTGTTCTGTATGTATACCATGCAGTGTTTCGACGGAAATATTACCTACACGCATTACCGGCGAAATATGTTACGCAGGCACTGTATAAAAAATTAATCCAGGCCCGAGAGAAAACTTTATCAGGGTGTAAAATATTGGAATAAATATTCGACAAATTAGTATGGGGGGCGATTAAAAGTGCTGCCAATAACGAGGTCAATGGTTTTTCTTTCTCTCGCTAGATCGATATATTTTGCGAGATCAAATTAAGTTGGCAATGATGATGTATTAGACACAGTTTCGTGTGTGACTAATTTCAAGCTATAAAAATTAATGACACATTTGTTTCTATTATCTTTAGAATATTTCAACTGTAACGCGGTTTTTATCGTTTCGTGTTATCTATTACAGAAATGTAAAGTCGCTAAAGATTACAATGAGAACTCATTATCTAAGCGTTACATGGCATATTCATTCGTTAATCATGCACATAAACTTTTCACCAGTACAATGCATCGCATTGTATCTCGTGACTCGCCATTATCGCAACAAATTCAATCTTATATCTTAACGTACTGGAAAAATTATTTTCGCAGAACACTTACGTGAGAAAGATGTCTATTAAAAAAAAAGTCCTGCGAGACGAGTGTACATTGGGTCGAAATGATAAAAGTAAAATTGTACGTGACGCAAGATGCGATACGATTATCAGGTACAAGATATTCGCGATCGATAGGTATCGAAGCAAGAGCTAATCTTCGAAATGTTCTTGTAAAAGACGAGTTTCGAATTTCTTTAAGGACGACGAACTTTGTTTCGGACACACCAATTACTTACGTTAGACAATTTTGATCGAGTATAATAGAATCATTATCTTTATTGTGCAATTCGAATAAGTATATTTAAGCTCGAATAAAGATACAAATAATAAACAGTATGACGTAGTAGAGATTCGAATCTCCTAAATGATACGATATGCTTACACGAGATGTTATAATTGTCTTCAGTCGAATACGCCGAGAACGAAATACAGTGCGTGAAAGTTTGTATTCATACATACACACGGGTCACGCCAAGGTACAAAGAAAAACATCAAAGGCAAAGTCATACAGAACAAAAACCTTTAATTCTCTCCCCTCGAGTGTTTGACTTTGCCTCGGTAATGTAAATAAACGAACGGAACCTGTCTCTTTAGATGATTTGTAACACGCCTTGTATACATCTATCTTAGATTATAATATTCGTTTCCGATTGTCCGTGGGATGCAAAGTAACCAAGAGAACACTCAGTCAAAACAAATATAGGCCTGACCGAACGTAGGCGTACACATTTCTCATAACGCTACGTTCTATCCTTTCGTAATAGCTTAGAACTTTTTCATGTTACTGTTGCTTTTCAAATATCGTTTTCACGCTGACAAAAACATGATATGCTAGGAACAGTCCGTTCGAAAGTTTCGAAGATTCGCGTTCGCGCGCTCGTTGCACGCAAAAAGCGCGCTGGTGAACGGGTTTTAACATGCTTCCTTACCTGTTTTCCAACGTAAAATCCAGTGAAGAACGCAACAGTGTCAATTGTCCAGATAAAGTACACGAAAAACACCAAAAGTGAACCGAACACAAAACAAGAATCACGTGTACGACTGTGAGGCGCACGCACATCGGCAGCACTAACGCGGTATACCCGTACACAATACAGATTACAAATGTATTATGGCTGCGACCCAGGCGTTCATGAATGAAACTAAGAGCGGGCTGCTCCTCCCCGCCCCGCGACATCGTGTCTTTGACCAATCGCTGGTGGGCGTATGGATTCTGCGCTGTGATTCGCTATCGTATTCTGCTATTTCCATTGGAGCAACGCTGTAATCAGGGTACGACGAATAAATAAATATTGCACGAAAATTTGAATTTTCAATTGCTATTTTATACGTATATTTCATCAAAAATTGCCACAAGATTTTTTAAATTTAAATTTCGTATATAAAAATTACGTTGAATACACGAAAAGCAGTTGAACTTTAAGACGTTACTATTGTACAAGGTGTATAAAGTATACCTATAAAAAGTAAATCGGTAAGATAATAAATATAATGTTTCATTAAATAGAAATAATTTCATAAAAATTAAATATACAAATCTATTTTACATTATAATTTCAACCAATCATGTGGCTAGTACTAAAACGATATTTTTATTGGTGGCGCTTATCCCAAGTAAGTGGGCACTCTGTATATTGATAATACTCTAAGGTAACGAATATCGACGTCTACTGCTGAACTGAAACTTAATTAAAAAGTAAGTATATACACTTTTTAATTGTATTGAAATTTTTAACAGCTCTATTTTTAGTTGTGTGTCGTTTAATCTATCCTTATAATATTTTATTTTCGTTAATGTACTGCGTGTAATGAACCTAACCTGTTAATATGTTATGTAGTATTTTATTACGTAAGAGAAATTTTGCATAATATTTTATTATTATGTACTGATGTTTTAATGTTTTGTATAAAGTTTTATTGTGCAATTTTATGTGAAATAGTTAATTTATAAAATTCGTAAAATTGGTACGATAGTTTAGTTGTGCATTGCCACTTGACACCTTGTCTGTCATAAAAGTGTTCCGTGATAATTAGAGGAATTTTCTATATTTAATTTGTTAGGGAAAAATGCTTACCCAGCGCCTTGTTAAAAGTGCACCAAAAGTTATTAAACGTAACATTGGGATTCTTGCACCAGCATTCAAAGAAGCAACAGATCCCATACAAAAATTGTTCCTTGATAAAATCCGTGAATACAAATCAAAAAGCTCGTAAGTAGAAGTGAAATATTTCAATATAAATATAGCAGTATAATAGGATTAACATCAATTCATGACATTAGTGGTGGAAAATTAGTTGATCCTACTCCTGAAATTGAAAAAGAAAGGCATTCTGAGCTTGACAGAATTATGAAACAATATGAGTTGAAGGGTGATGTAACAGAATTCCCAAAATTCTCGTTTAAAGGTATGTATATTTACAGAAATATGGAAGATCATACATACCGTATGTTATATAATAATGTTGAAAAAGGTTTAAATGTTTAAAAGTGTTAGCAGTATTGATAAAATATTTAACGACATCAAGATTCTTTAATTTCAGATCAAGAAGTGGAAAAATAAATACAGTAATGTAATTCTATATAAATACACATAGAATTGGAAAATTTATATCAAAACTGTTAGATTTAATGCTAAGTAACCAATTGTAAAAATATATGCACATGTAACATTAAAAATATAAGTATATTAAATTTTATTTTCCTCAATAGTAATAATACAGGCACTTTAATTAAAGTTATGTAGAATCTATAAAAAGTCTTGTATTTTCGACTATTTCCATCAATGTTTCCATGTTGCATTTTCTACCTACTGATTTACATATCTTTATAAATTTTATTATTTCACTCTTAGGTATTAAAGTTTTGAAATCACCAGAACAGCATCCATCAAAAGAAATTCTATTTCCTCGTTATCGTAGTTCATTTTGCAAAGAGGACACTTCCATATGTACCTGTATACAAATAATAGTATTATGCGCTATAGTACACATAACCTCTCCGAGATATTTCATACCTATCATTTTCCATCATACAGAGATTATCTTTGCAAAGATCAATGTCTCTCGTGTGATTACATGCTTTACATATGACTTCAGGTAAAATTAAAGAAATACATGGATCTTTCCATTCAACTGTATCACTGAAACTACCAATTCCAATCAGTCGTAACATATTTGTTTGTAAATGATATACTTCATTTTCAACTTCTTTATCTAAAGACAAAACCTGCAATAAAAATGATCACTTGATTATTTGTTTCATAAGAACAGCTTAACATAATTGCATTGTGTTTAAATACCTTACAAATTGATTTAATTAATTCTAAAGCTGGATTAACTTTTTTACTCTCTTTACCATCTAAATCCAAGTTTGGATATTCCTGAATTTTTAATATCTTTTCAGGAATATTTTTATGTAATACCTGTATAATTCTGCAACATATTTGAAAAAAAGGTAAATAACATTCTTCGAACAATATCGAAATGCAGAAACGATGCTTACTGAAAAAGTTTTTGGGACATATCTCCCGATATAAGTTGCTTAGCAAAGTCTGCAGTATTTTCGAGTGATCCTAATCCCAGTTGCGGTGTTAAAGTTTGACTCGCACTATTTAATCTTTTAGGTTTTATAGTATTATTCATTTGTTCATTCTCTGACATAAATTGATAAATGGCATGTATATATCCTGCAATTATAGTACTAAAACTTGATTGACATGCATACTCTTTAGGAAGACATTCCATCAAATTCCACTGCATCACTATTTCAGGCTTAACAGAAACAAAATTCAATGAAAATATCGTAGACGAATGAAGTAAAATAATTATATAGGTACTTACAGTATCATCATTTTCATCCTCATCATTTTCAACATCATTTTCATCCATAGTATTTGTTTCTTCTATATTTCCTTCCCTATCTTTTGGTAATTTTCCACTTACACCAGCATGATTATGCTATTAATTTATACATGTTTTTTATTAATGCAATATACTGCCACGTTATTATAACGTCAAAATTAAAAATTGTACTTACAACATCGAGCCATATCAAATACTCCCAACATCGTTCGAAAGTTATTTCAATGCTATGGAAGAGTTCTTTATTTCGTATTGTTTGGACAACAAATTCAACGTAGCCCAATGCATCACTCACTGTCCTCTTCTTAGTACACACGATGATTTTATTGAAATTTGCAAAAATAATAATCGAACCCAGAGTTTTAAATTCGGCTAATAACTGTACAAATAATTTCTTCATGTAGCTGTGCAAAGTTCTTCTTAAAGCAGGATCATAGAGTAAAGCATTAGATGAACGTAACCATCTAAAATGATACGAATTCGTGATTTGAGTATGTGCAGAACCCTGAAGTGCAAATGCATGTACCTACCTGTAAAAATGAATAATTTGATAATCTGCAAATACATTTTTGTAAACTGAAACATCCAGTAGCCATGCATTGACCATACTTCTCAGTGTTCTAAATGCAGGACTGCAAAGTGCAGTTTCATCATAACTAGGAATCACAATATTCATAGGTTCTCCAGTTGCCAGATCCTATGGAGATACTTGGATGATCTTCCTTGCATTTTCTAATTGGATTTTATTAAAACAATTTACTTACTTGTAGAGATGTTAATTGTTGATTATGAAATGCGACAAAATTACTGGTCCCATCGATATCATGAATATGATGATATTGTAATAATGTATTTACTGCTAAACTTTCTATCTCTAATTCAATGCATACACTAGAATAAGCCCCAGGATTATTCGCAGCGCAATGAGAACTTTCTTCGAAGTCCGTTAATAATCTGCAATTAATCTCAATGAAGAAATAGTAATGATTAAAATATTAAGCTTAAATACACATACCGGTTATCATCATTTTCGCTGCCTCCTAAATCTGGTGTCTCAGTTGAAGAACACCATAGTACGAAATTATGTTTTTGCAAATGTCTAGCGTAAAATAGATCGGCGCCAAACATAGTAGGATCTGCAGGAATATTTCCAATGGGTGCATGAAAGAATCTACATTGTTCTGCCATCAATTCGAAAATTTGGTGGCTCTTAAAATAATGACGTACCATTATTTTCGCACCAACTTTTTGCCATTCTATCGTATTGTATAAATTCTCGATATCTTGTACATGGGTGCTGATTAATGGAAAATCATTAAGTAGGGGCATTTGAGTTAGTAATACTGTTTTATCTAAAGTAAAAAAGAAATAAAATACAAATAAAAAATTAACAAAAATACATAATGATAAAAACGAAATTTTCTTAAAATTTACCTAAAGCTGTTTGTGTAATAAATATCGTAGGACCATGTCCTTCATTTTTGTATGCAGTTAAGGCTGCTTGTAAAGTACGGCACAAGTGTTGGAAATTTGTTTCAAATCGCAATACAAATTGCATTGATTCTGGTAGATATTTTAGTTTCTCCTCCCCATTCATAGATATTCTGCAAAATAATCAACCTATACTAATTCTTGCAATATAATAGAAACTGTTGTGAAATTATGAATCTTACGCTGTGTTCCGTTCTTCAGTGTACAATGTATTCATATTAGGCATCTGATTTGACGAAACCGTGTCCAAAGCGAATACGTGAACTCTTTTACTCGCATTTAGAAAGAGTGCCCATATAGCTCTTCGATGATTCGAGCTCCAATGATGATACAAGAAAGCGTAATTGATTCCATGAATATTTTTAAGATACGGTTGGACACCAATACTTTTGAATTCTAACTGGTCTAATGCAAACGTGTCCGCACCGTCTGTTAAGGTGCGCGCTGCCTTAGGATCGACTGTACAAATGCATCCTAATTGAAGAATAGCTCTGAACTCCAATGACATTTGAGTCTCATAAATTCCTTCAATTTCTGGTTTACTTAAGTCTTCTAAAAGCTCCTGACTATACTTTTGATACTGTGCTTCTGGCACAGAATACCGATACAAATTATATATAGGCCGAGATCGCGGAAGAATCTTAGCACTCTTCATCCAGGATACTTTTTTTCCTGATTCTGGATCAGCTTTTCGTTTACGAGTGTTTACATAAAATATACGAGGTATCACAAGACGTAATTGATGAAGATCTTTATCGACCAATACCCACAATCGATACAAACCAGATTCGTTTGTCGGCGAGATTTGAATAATTTGCCACGGTGTTGTGAGCAACTTCTTTTGAGTTTTCCTCAAGAAGCCACTTAATGTGGATGTATTAACATTTCTTTGAACACCCCAACTAACTTGATCTTCGTTACTAATCATTTTACTCCTTTTGCTCTTCTGAACTTTAGCTCTTTGTTTAGCCAAAAAGGCCCATTTCTTCTTATGAAAGTTCAACCATTCCAATCTTTCTTCCTTTGTCTTCCCCATTGGTGGTGGTGAACCTAAGATTTCTCTCCAATTTTTGTTATTATTCTCTGCTTCCTCTTCATCAGAACATTGTCTTTTCCTTTTATTAATAACAGGCAATGGTTTCTTAAATGTTCCACTTCCTCCTGCTATATCTTCTATGTCGCTTGGACCAGATGAATTTAAATCTTGGTCACTATCCTTTTCCTTCTCTTTAGGCAAAATGGAAAACATATCGGTAATTCTCTTTTGCTTATGCGTTGCACTCTTTTCCATTACTCGTTTATGCAACCAATCCGGATGCTTTACCCTAGGAACCGGATTAGAAAGCCCTTGCATCGCTGCTGGGATTGTGATAATCTTTTGAATAGCACTTCCAAGTCTTTCAATGTAGTAACTCCAATCTAAAATATGTCGAATATCGTCACTCTGTAAACCAGGATCTTTTAACCACTTTCGCAAATAGTATCTTCTTATTGCTGGTTCTGATTGAAAGATGGCTAATGGTATTGCCCTTTCTGTAACTGGTGCACCTGGAGGTTTATTAGCAATGATATATTTACATGCTAGACCGGCATCCTTGACCATTTGATCACCTAAAAATTCAGCTAATCTTTTCGCCGTGGAAATAGAAGTGGATTTTTGAGCTCCGTACTCTTCCAATTTACGTGACATTGATTTGTTTTCGGATATGAGCTCAAACAACTCCGAATCTGGTATGTCTGGACATTTGCTGTAAAGCAAATCGAGCCAATAGTCCGCATCTTTGGCTACTGAAGCATAGCACTCTTCTAACGTGTTGCCTTTTAAGAAGGATTCAAAAACAGAAGTCTGAAAGACTTTTATCAACTGAAGTTCACCTCTTCGTTTCACTTCGAAACCTTTCAATTCAGCCAAAGAACCATCGAAATTAAATACCGCATATCGTTTTTTCAATCTTTTCCCTTCCTCTTTTGCAGCAGGCAATACCATAGCTAAATAGGGACCATCTACTTCAAAGAATATAGAATTCTCATTTCTAATATTATACGTAAAATTTTCTGGATCGACGAGTTCATGATACACATTATTAGTAAATTGATCTTTCACCATAAAATTTAGGACAGCATTTGGATACGATATTGCAAGCTTTTTCTTCTTTGGATGAGAGGTATGAACGACTACGTTATCAGGAAAAGATGCAGGTAAAACGCACCAGATTCCATCAGTGTCTAATTCTAAAGGACGACCGACCTGTTCTATAATTTCTCTAGCTTTCATGATAATATGTGCTCCTGTGTAACATACTATACCACCCATCTCCATACTAAACCATCGCGATCCTTTTCTCATGACGTAACCGTAGAAAGAATTTAAGATACACTTATGAGCAAGCTGTAAGGAATCATACAATATTTCTCGATTCCTGGCAGATTTAATATCACCCGCATCTCCCTTTGTTATGGCTGCTGCCACTTGCTGTTTCGCAGCTTTGGTCAACGCCTTGTATTCGTATCTTCTATCCCTAAACGCTCTCACAGTATCCACATAAAACGAATTCTCTTTTTGGCAAATTGTTTGCGTTCTTTCTTCCATGCTGGAGATTTTAACTTTCTTGTAAGCTTTCTTGCAATATTCCGTGAGTCTTTTCTTCTCGTATGTTGCTTGTTCCTCTGCGGATAATTCGTGATACGCTCTTCGAGATCCACCAGGGAATTGCGGAGGAAACTTTTCATTTTCAAGCTGTTGTTGGATTCGTTGATATTCACTTAAGCTTGCAACCAAATATTCCCCTCTCCACATCCACATCATGTTCCTTTGACAAAGTGCTTTTGGCTTATTATAATCGCAAGCAGCACAAACAGTTTCGTTAACCATCGCGGATGGTTGCAGTCGATTAGTTAAAATAATATTTGGATACATGGCACCGACATCTAAATGATAAATTACAGGATTTTCTAATCTCAGCGGTTGATTTCTCAAAGCTTTCAATTTCTCTGTAATTTCTTCGACCACTTCATCGAAGTTCGTAACCATTTCTAATGGTACCTTCTCTTCCTCTTGTATAGCATGTTTTAAAGCATTTGGAACTCCATTTATCAGTTCATCTACCGCGCTCGGTACTATTTTAAAGCGGCATGGGATATCGGCTCTAAATATACCTGATTCTAGAGCTTCTACATGTCCTCCTACATATGTTTCTTGGTCCAATAAATGACCATCTTTCGTTAGCTTGTTTAGTTGTTGTTCTTGTTTATTAGGGAATATAATGTTTGCTTCAAAGGCTTGAACCATTAACAGAGACTCGCATAATGTGCCAGATCCCTTTCTAAGAACCTGTAAATGGGCAAATATAAATTTAATTGTTCTCTTCATAGTTTATTTTATGCTATAACTTACTTCATCCGGTTCCATGGGAATAATAGTACATAACGCAAATATGAAAGGGTGAATATATTTTTGGTAAAGATAATACGTAGCGACCGCGTCGGAAACTGAGTAGTTTGCAAGAGTCTCCGGGTCTTCAGACGCTAATCTACACATATCTTCGGGATCTAGTTCTACTGGATCGTATCTAAGCTTCGCTTTTGCGACAGCTTTTAAGTTCTGAGAACCTACAGGCAGATAAGAATCGCGTCTTACCCAACTATGGTAAAAAATTATACATTAAACATTTTATTCTTCATTTAACGACTTAATAAATTCAGTTTATTAAGACAATACCATAAGCAATCCATATGTGTGGCTGGTCTAGTAGTATAAACGCCATCACGATTTTTAGAGAAACCTATCCTATTTTTCATTTCCATATCATGAATAGCTGCTCTAGTTTCGACAAATGGCCAATCGAAAAAATCACCGTTATACGTTACGAATATGTGGGGTCGAACAGTATTTATATGATCGAAAAATCTTTTTATGGTCGCTTTTTCATTTGTTATTAAGAATCCCTGAAAGTAATAATAAAGTATGCCTCAGGTTTTAAGTATGAAAGTAGAATTATGTTAAGTAAAAGTGTAGAATAATACTTGTCCATCAATCATGTATGATATCATCATGATCTGATCAGTATTAGCATCTGGAAATTTCAAAGGAAGTTTTGTAGTTTCAATATCATATGCCAATACTATTGGGTCTGGTGGTTCAATAATATCATCTCTCTTTGTAATGATTGGTACTTCACTTCCTCTTGTCCTTACAGAGTACCATGATCCACAAAAAATTTTCATATCTATAGACATCCGTACATGATGTGGTACATCATATTCTCTATAGAAATGTACATACGTCATTAATACATATATTGTATTCACCTCAAAATACAAGTATAAGTATGTACCTAATATCAAGAATATTATCTTTAAAATCTATGGTTTGCATTTCATGAACTCCTACATTCTCATTTGGATTTAACACATTTGATAACATGTCTGTATAATATGTATGACCTTTTTCCCGTTCCTTATTTATTTTCACAGCCTTCCTAATGTCACGTCTGACTTTATTCAAGTCTACAGTATTTAAAAAAGAAAGTTTCAGATATTTTTGTTTTAATCCTATTAAATGATTTGGCTAAAAAAAAAAAAGAAAAGCAAATAGAATCATCATTAACATCTTTTATGTCTTTTTAATTCCATCATACCAGATCAAGATCTTCTTTGTAAAAAGTTTCTACTTTATGTATAATATCAGCATATTTTTTATTTAAACCAGTGGAGACTTCTTCATACGTGTCCTTCTTGCATAAGACATAAAAATATGGACAGTAAGGATAAGAAATTTTAAATCTGGTACAGTCCTCTTCTAAAAAGTAATAGTCTACACCACTCTGTAATCTTTTGTCATCTTCTATAATTTCTGTCTATAAAAGCATAAAATAATTTTTTTTAAATACACCACAAAGTAACTGTTGACATTTGCTATGTTCTTTTATATTTACTGTGTGCATATTGATAAGAAATCCTATTTTTTCTTTTATGTCAGTTACTCTGTGAAATCCATATAGACCATCTACCCTTATATTTTCATTAACTTCGTTTAACCTACCCCCTGAAGCCTCTCTATGGGAAAATAAGAAGAAATAAGTAAATAGAAAATTGTAGCAATTCCTAATATACTCTAAATTAAAATCGCAATACCCCGATGGATTTCCGTCTGGATCTTGGTTATTTCTTGCATTTCTAAAAGCTTGAAATCTTCCTGTATTTCGTAAGCTTGTCATATTATCCGATCGTCAGTTATATAAAATATAATAACTACTACTTTTTTGAACTAATTAAAGATGACACAATGATAATTTAATGAAAAAATGTAGTTGTTATTAATGAAGGCACTGTGGTTTTCGAACACTGTATGTACAGGTTGCAATTTGCCCGCCAATAAATCTTTACGCCTAACAGATATATGCACAATAAGGATATAGGAAGATTTATAATAAAAACGAATAAAACGATAGTTTAATTAGAACAGAAATAGTATTTATTTATATTTACAATATTTTTTACATTTATTTATATTAACAAAATTGGATCCTTGTACTTTCAACTGGTACAAGGTTCCAATTTTAATCTATAAAGAAATATTTATAAATTTAATATCTTCATCGCCTTTTTCCCTTTTTTACTGTTAAAATTATATATTTAATTATTCTTGACAATTATCTTCGTCCAATAGCATAATGCATTAGATCGGCATTAGGAGAAATTTACTAGAGATATGATCTACACGCGCAAGGAAAAATCCCGAGACTTATCGATTGGGAAAAAGAAACGAAATTGTAGGTGGCTCCACGACAGTGATGCGGTTCGACAACAATCGTTGTGCTTCGTTAAATAAATTTGTTTTACAATTTGAGTGAACGTTAAAGAATAAAAATAGATGAGAAAATTAGACACGCAAGAGGCCTGGGGTGCCGAAAGGTTAGAAGCGCAATTAGAAGCTGCCCGGGATGGTCTTCGAGGGCTCGACCGAAGTATTCGGAAAATCTTGGGCCGGGATCTTCCTGATGGAGAAAACGGCCCACTACAACCACCACCCAGGTTAAATTCTTAACAATTTAATATTAAACGTTCGCAAACAATCCTAGGAAAATGTTATGTCATAAAAGATCCATCTTGTTCAATAGTTCATTGATCTTTGAATGAAACACTGTTGTCTACAAACATAACCTATATCTTTCCGTATATTGGAGCAAATATATAAATATTTTTCATTTGTATAAATACACTGTACACAATGTTATTGCAAATATATGCCTATTATGATTATGATATATTTATTTCTGTAATATGAATAAAAAAAAATAATTGTCAATAATTGTCAATGTAATTTAAACATTGACAATTTCGATAGATTATCACAAAAGAGACCACTGCAAGAGGATAGACGACGTGTTGTATCAGACTTTGTCAATAATGAACTACCTGGTGGAAAAAGGAGATGGCAGGGTTCTAATGGAGAACCAAAAACAGTTTTCAGTCGTTTAAGTGCACGTGTACCTTCGAATAATGATGATAGTGCTGATGAAGATGATAATGTGATTAAGGTAAAACAGAGGAATAATTGATTGTTATTAATATATTACTCCAAATATAACAGCTGAGTATTTATTTTAGCCAGCTGTGTCTTCAAGAGTAATAGCAACTCCAAGGGAAATTCCATCTAGACAAGAAGTTATTAGACGCGAGAGAATAGATGAACGCAGCCGGCAAAGGAATAAACGAATGTTTGGCGCTCTTTTAGGTACATTACAAAAATTTCGGCAAGAGGAAACTAAATTGAAAGCAAAGGTACATTTTCTATTGTTGCGAAAAATATTTTCGTATTACATATTTCGTAAATTCGTAACTTTTTCTACAGGAAGATAAAAAGGCAGAAGTAGAGGCAAGAGTAGAAGAGGCTAGAAGAAGAGAAAAGGAGGAATTACGACGAGAAAGGCAGCAACTGTTTTTGTCACGCAAACGGCAAGTAGCGGAAGTGCGAGCATTAGAGGCAAAGTTGGCGCGCAGTCGGCAATTTCAAGACTGGCGCGCTGCACAATTGCCGCTTGCATCGTTTATAAAAACGCGTGCCCACCCTCCTATTTATTATGCACCAAAGCGTAAACATCCACAAACTGACATTTTGTTGACTCAATCTTCGAAAGAGCTTCATGGTACGCACACGAGTGACGAATCTTATACGTAGAACGAACAAAAAATTGTAATAAATATGTACTCTATGTTACAGAGGAAATTGAAAGAAGAGAGAAGGCACTGATCGAAGAATTGGAGCTAATAGAAGTACAAGTAGGACTTGGTAAGCATCAACAGAACTTTGATGGGACCGCGACAATAAATCCCACAACGGAAGTACAACAGTCGACGGAAGAGGGTGAAGAGAATCGTGATCCAAATCCAGAAAAAACCGTGGAAACGGAAAATAACGAAACAGTCGATGTTTCGGTAAAATCCGAGAAGGATGAAAATTATGATAATACGACGAACGATGTTGAAAAGAAGGACGAAGTACAAGTAGAAGAAGCAAAGGACGAAAATAATGGCTAGTATTAAATGTACTTACAATGCTTGTACATATTACGTACATTGGATGGTCCAACGAAGAGGAGAATGGAGTTTTTCTTACACGATACTCTACGCGTGTGGATAAATTTTACAATTTTCAAAGAAAAAAAAAGATTCACTTTTTACTTGTTATCGTATAGAGACAAATTCATTCCCTTCATCGAATTACATACTCATTTTTTCATCATTACGACGAATATTATTCGAATTCCTCTTAGACGTAAGACAGAACATTACGGTCAGGAGTAGTCTGCAGTTCACTGGAATCCCATATTTTTTAAATGTTACATGTTTGTATCATGGCTGTTGTAGTGTATTATTTAAGTAACTACCATCTTGTAAGTAGAACGAGGAAGAACCAACGTGGTGGAGAAATAAGTATGTTGATAAGCTGTCGTAAATTGATTCAATACATTTTTAGGTTCGAAAAAAATTGTGTATGATAGTTCTCTCATTGTTTCCTTTGTATCAGTATCTGTCTTTTAATACATATGAGAAAAAAAAGAAGGGCGTTAAATAAACTATTTAATGCTTAACGTGTATGGTACAATAAAATAATATAAATTCCAACCTCGAGCATATCTCCCGATAATATAGCATAGTTTACACTCTTGTGCAAATTTGTATTACTGTGTTCCTTTACGTACATACGACATAAGTATATATATTAATTAATACGGATAATAGAAGCGGGTAATTTTTCGTCGTAGCAATATTACTAAATATTTGTTAAATAAAACCAGTTTAAACGAACGTGTCGCTGGACAGAATAGAAGTTTTTTTTATACTTCATCGAGTAAGAAATAAAGGAATTCCTTAATTGATAAAAATGGGGCAATAAATAAACCGAATATCCTTTCGTGCATATATTAGTTTTACTCTTATTTCACTTTTATTTCATAATTAATTACAGTTTTATTGGTGATTGTATATGATAACAATAAAAAATTATAATTAATTTGAACATTAGCAAACTTGTATTATTACTTGTGAAGATTTGGTTACGCAGAATCTGTCGAAGAGTGTAGTCATCTTTGAAGTAGTTCTGTTGCATTCTTCTGACAATTTTGGTACGCATATGGCGTATATACATTTCCACAGTGGATATTGCTACACATAGTAACAGAATCAGTTTAATTCTTAATCTTGTACATTATCGCAATCAATACTTCCTTTATAATCATATTATTTTTGACATTTCTCTTGAAATCGTTTGAAGTTACAATCAATACTCTTTTATCGATAGATGATCTATTATCGACAATCATATTAGAAATCGATTCCACTCGACAATCGACAGTTCATTGTTGTATTCTTTGACAAACATAATCATGATTAATTAATCAAGAAATACATCTCGTAACATATAAAATATTACTTTACAGCTTATTAATTAATTTTATCGTCTGACATGTACCTGAATTTTTCAAATTTTAATTACGAATCTTGCGACATTTATTTTTATTTCGTTCGATTGAATTTCGATAGGTCGAACGTGTCAGTGCTTCGGAACGTTTGTTAGTGGAAAAAAGGAGCAGGCAGAAAGAAGCGAGATTAAGGATAGCAATTCGTTAACTAATTTACACCCAGAAAACCGTTCCGAATCTTTGCCGGTAAATTCTACGGGACTTTCTATCTTCCCCGTGATATTCAAAGGTAGGAGGGGATGGCATGAAAGGGGCGTTCCGCCATGCAACCTCGGAATATGGCTAATGCGTCTCTGCGCCGTCGTC